TTTAGCTTCTTGTGTTCAATAGTGAAGTCTAAGCAAAGAGATTACCAAGGAATGGAAGCATGCTATACTAACATCAGGGTGCACTAGCACCACCTAGTGGTTATTACTGAACAATTTATTGGAAAGCAAGAAGATTCAAAGGTCCAGGGCTCCCTCCCTAATTTGCATATAAGCACTTGAAAGCGCCGGTCTTTCCTTTCTGTAGAACAGAATCTGCGGGATGTTCTGATTTGCATTTTGCTGACCTTTCTGAAAAGATCTGACTATAGGATAAGAAAATGAAGTACAGTACTTTATTGGGGATTTTCGGCCCTTCTTTGAAAGTGATGAGCTAATACCTTCCTTTGAGTTGAGTTAGAACAAGGGTACAGTCATATTATCACAAAATGAGACACACAAATTATTCTCCCACGAAGACAGAAGAAAGTCTAAGGAGCCCAAGAAGAACTTAGTTTCTTTATACACTAACCATCTTTCTGTATCACACTCCTGATAATTGTTTCTCTCCTTCAATAGGAGCATATTTCTTTTCTACAGGTGTAGCAAACCAATTTCTGATAATTTCCATTTTTAACTGCTGTTTATTAGTATTCATGTTTTACTATAGATATAATACTGACTGTGGGGACCAGCCAAATAGCTCTGCGGATTAAAGCGCCTGCAAGCAGGCTCAGGGGCCTGGAGTTTAATCCAGCCCTGCCCCTGAGGCATGCTGAGACAGCAATTGAGACTGGGTGTTGTGGCGTGGAACTGTAATCTCAGCATTTGGGAGGTTGTAAACAGGAGAATGAGTACGAGTCTGATCTAGTAGTAAGACCCTGAACACCCTGTAGACCCTTGACCTAAAATACACAAAGAAAAAAAAATACTGTGAAAGACTTCAAAAATGCAGCAAACTAGAAATTAACAGCAAGGGGTAAATATGGTTCTCAGTCCCCTCTACTGAACACAATCACAGTTATTGTGTCACTCACCAGCATTTGCCGTTAGCGTAGATTCTGGGACCACACATGCCTGTGCTTAAACTTCAACTGGACCCTTTCATAGCTGTGAATTCACTTTCCTCACTTCTAAGATGGGGACAAAAATCCTTTGCAGCATGGGGTTGTTATGAGGATGAAACAGACTGAAGTTTTTTTTTTACTTTTATTTTTAATTTTTTTTGCAGATCTGGGGATTGAACTCAGACCCTTGCGCTTGCCAGGGAAGCACTTATTCCACTGAGCCATCTCCCCGGCTCCCTGAAGTTTTTAGACATGTAAACATTTTTTTATGTTACTCTCCTGTCTAATTCATCTTCTTTCTCCAACTCTACTTGTACTAAGACTATGCACCGGGGCCGGTCAGACAGCTCAGCAGGCTAAAGCGCCTGCCTGCTTAGGCAAGAATCCCAGGCACCACATGCCATGCCAGCCCCCGCACTCAGGGTGGGCTGAGCTGGCAAAAAAACAAAAAAAAAACAAAACAAACAAAAAAAAAAAACTGCGCACTGCCAGAAACCAATGTTTAACTGTGTTTCTACTTAGTTTTTTTTTTTTTTTTTTTTTTTACAGTGTTGGGGATTGAACTCAGGACCCTGAGCTTGCCAGGCAAGCACTTATTCTACTGAGCCGTCTCCCTGGCCCACTCTTAGTTTTTTTCTGTACTTTCTGAATGGCTAAAATTATACTATAAGTATATATTCTTTAATATCTTCACACTGTTATATTACTTATTCCTTAGAATAATTATTGATTGGTAAATACTACTGTCTTCAAGTTACTAATTACCTGGTACAAGAGTATGGCACACAATTTGGATATGTGGATTTTTATGGTGAACATGTGAAATGAAGGAGGGAAATATTTTTCAAAACAGACAAACATAAGCTTTTTTCTTCCAAAAATGAAAAGATAAGGGCCAGCGGTATAGCTCAGTGGACGAAGTGCTTGCTTAGGTAAGCGCAGGAGCCAGGGTTTGAGTCCTGGCACAGCATGCTATGCCGGCCCTGCCCTGGGGTGCGCTGAGCTGGTGATGGAGTTTGGGTGTGCTGGTGCACACCTGCAATCCCAGCACTTGGGAGGCAGAAATTAGGAGGCTCACTATGAGTCCAAGCTGCGTATTGAGACCCTGCAAAAAACAAAAACAAAAACCTTAAAAAAAAGATATATTGCTAGTTATATTTTCTTTCTGCCCAGAAGATTCACCCATTTCTTCTCTTATCATATACTGCCTATGGATGTAGGTCCAAGGTATGAGGCTAAATGTTAGGGATGTAACTAACACCAAATAGGATACTTTCCTGGAGAATGCACAAGACTCATTCAACACGATGCATTAGAAATCCTGGGAAAAGTGACTAACCCTGCCTGAGGAAGTTGACATTTACACTGGTACTGAAAGATAAATGAACGTTTTCTGGGAAAGAAGGATGTAGAACAAAATAATCTTGCAGAAGAGTTGGCAGTGAATAGAATCAGGTAAAGAGTGACTTTATCAACGTCTATGAAGCACTGTGTCATTCTTAAGTAACAATGGCATGCAAATGGGGTAGAGGTCGGGATGGAAAATAAGACTGCCAATGCTGTTTGGGCCCAGAACTGAAATTCAAGTCTATATTTTATTTAATAGGAAAAAATGGAACAAAATGAGACTTTACATCAGGGAAGTAATCGTTTTAGGAGGATAATGGTGATGAGAGAGAAGATGGACAGGAATAAGGCTGGACTGGTGGTGCTATCCAGTGTTAATAAAACATGTTTTATTAACACAAGTTAATAAAAATCTGATGATCTGAATGACAGGGCCACATTTAAATATTTTCTCAAGATGTTAAAATTCTCTAGTGGAAGTAGGCTAAAAATAAGCACCAGAAGACTTAAGATTTCTGGTCTTGGATAGGCAGATGTGACATTTGTAGAATGAAAATACAAAAGGCTCAGTAAACAGGGATGGGGAGAAGGGAGAAAAGGGTCTGTTTAGAAATGATGTGTGTGCTAAGTCACTGAAACTGGTGCGAGGAATGGGCAGTTGCAAATTTAGGTCTGGAGGCTGGGAGACGGAAGGGGTTTAGAATCACCCAATGATGCATTTCTTACAATGGGTTCAGTTATCTCACTGTGAGGTAAGAGTGCACCTATGAATTCAATCATCTACTTCCTGTGTTTCTGTATCACAAGAAATTTGGTGGCCTCAGTTTTAGCAACAGAACTGTCAGGACAGCATTATACTCTGGGTTCTCCCTTCACGCTGTTTTTGTGGAAAAAAAAAAAAAAAAAGCCTGATATATCAACACCTAGAAATTAGACGAAATTTCTGTTCCTAAAATAGCCATATCACTCAACCCAATGTCTGGATCTTTGGCCGTGCCAGTTCTATTGCAATCTTTCCTGACTATTTATCTTTCTCTAGATCTTTCCCTGGGAAGACCTGGCAGGCCTACAACCTGCAGGTCAAGAAGAGTTATTTCTCAGAGTCTATTGGTTCTAGTCTAGAGGCTCACATCCATGCAACATGGCTGTCATGAGCATACCATTATTAATGTTTTGCCTTCCAGTTTTAAGAGAATTTTTTTCAATCCAACATCCTCAACTCAGCTAATTCTCTTGACTTTAGTTTCTGGGATCCTCTGTACAAACATACATTATATAACCAATGGTGGCGAGAGGTTATCTTTTAGGAATCTAATGAGGGCAAGCAGAGATAAAATCTCAGGATTTACAACTCATGAAATTTTTATTCAAGGTGACTGTGATGGCTTATCTCCTTATATCCTCCTCATGAGGACAAAGGCGCTGCTTTTTCAAAGATTTTAACTGCATCAACACAGAAAAAAATATAACAGGGTGAATCAGTAAACTTCTGAATCTCTGAAATGGTGTTTATACCTGGATATGAGCCTCCACCCCTGCAGTAGTGGAAACATAGTGTTTGCACTCAGCTATATTCCTAGCCTTTTTAAAAAAAGTTTGAGACAGGCTCTTGAAAATTACTGTTGCTCCAGGCTAGGTTCAAATTTGTGATCCTCCTGTCTCATCCACCCAAAACCTTGAATTACAGGCATGTGTGACCACTCCCAGCTATCCCTAACCCCTTTTAGATTTTATTATCAAACACTGCCAGGATTTTGTTAAATTGCCCAGGCTGTCCTCAAATTTACTATCTTCCCACTTCATCTTGTGTACCTGGAATTATAGGTATGCACTATACTTAGTACTTTTTAAAAAACTAGTTTTCAAGTGTCACTTTGATACCTTCAGCACATTTTACTAAAACCTGAAACCCCAAATACCATTTTAAGTTTTTTTGTCTCAGCTTCTTAATGTCCTGTGAACCTTGAAAGGGGCTTAAGATCACAGTAATACATTTTTTAGTCCCTTAGAAAGATAATTTGTCAGGGGCTGGGGAGATTGCTCAGCGGTATAAGTGCCTGCCTAGCAAGCACAAGGACCCGAGTTTGATCTTAGACCAAATTTTGTCTGTGAGACTAATAATTTCACCTCGAAGTAATAGTATAAAATTTAGTCAGTGGTTTCATTCTTGTGAAAATAGGAGTCTTATTCCTGTGAGAATATCAAACAAAGCTACCATTTAGAAATAACATGGTACATTGTTAAGGCAACACTACCAACTACTTACTGCTTAGAAAAACTAAGTAGGTATTTTTCTTCAGTCAGAAATGTCTTGTTTTCACACAGGGTCTCACTATGTAGCTCAGGCTGGCCTTGTGTTCACTTTTGTAGCCCCCAGGCTGGTCTTGAACTTGCAGCTATCCTCCTGTATCAACCTCTTGAGTGCTAGGATTACAGGTGTGTACCATGCCCAGTTCCAGGGCCAGGCAGGGCCGAGACAGTGTGCCCAGGGTTCCAGGGCCTGGTATGGCATGCGGGTCTGGGAATTGAACTTGGGACCTTATACTTGCCAGGCAGGAGCTTGTGCCTCCGAGCCATCTCCTCAGCCTTGAATACACTGTTTTGTTTTTGTCTATTTTTTTGAACTACGTAGCTCAGGGTGGCCTGGAAGTCACTCCAGGTTGGTCTTGAACACTCTCAATCCTCCTTCCTCTGCCTCCGAAGTGCTGAGATTATGAGTTTTGCAAACATGCCCATCCTTACTTCATATCAATATGACACCAAACTGATATTAGTATTTTGGCTTTAAATATCTAGTTAACAGTATAAATATTACTTCAATTTCCACTATGGATTAAATAAAATATATAGCTGTACATCTATAAACCTACATATATGTATTTCTATGTGCCTATCTATAATATTAACATTAGGTTAATTTTGGTCATTGTGGTCTGATTAATGGGTGATGAAGTACAGAACCACCTGATGGTGACTGAAGCAGAAAGCAGCAGCAACTTCTTACAAAATGTTTGATTCTCGTTCACTTTTGCTAGTTTAAAAATGCTTGATTTTGATCACAAAGTTGAAAACAACAAGGACACCTGGACTTACTCAGCCTATCTTAAACTACAAATACACTATCGGTGACAAGGGACTAAGGAGGGGTATACCACATTTAATCGTGTTAATACTGGAGACATTTCAAACTTTATGAAGGACAACTGTAGGTGAATTGTTCAATGCAGAACCCAGCACAGATTTTGTATACCTTATTAGGAATATTTTGAACATCACTTTCAGTAGAAATGGAAGAGTTTCAAAGTTGTTTGAGATGCTGTAATACATCAGTGGAGACTCCCAGCTGTGTAACTAAACTGGCCGTCTGTTCTAAAATCCAGGTGAGGCTTGGGTTTGCAGTATGTGCAGGCTCTTTTGTTCTGCAGCCTTCTAAATATGAACAATCTGCCCTGCTAGGACTGTTGCCACAGTTTTTGTTAAACTCAGCATTATTTTCACGGAGTCTTTCATCCTGAGGTTCATCAATCTTTTTCTCAGCTGGGACTTCATGACAAAGGTCCATATCCTCAATGGAGTCCAATAAATCTCCAACATGGGGCCGGGGAGTGATTGCTTTTAGATGGGTGAGCACATATTCTTCACACTGGCCGACTGCATCCAGGAGATTATTTATCTTACTGATCAGAGTCGAACTATTATCATGAAGGTGACACCAGGAGAGCAGAGCACTGAACAAAAATATTTAAAAAAGATTAAATGGGAAAAAAAATTAAATAGTCACAGGTTTTTACAGGCTGGGATTATATACTTTTAGAACATTTGATGCTAAGCCCTACACCTTTTTTTTAAATCAGAAAATACCACGCAAGAATGGATTAATGATAATAATGTAAGTCAAAATCAAGAAAGTAATGGTGGTAAATAAAATTAACACATTCATGCCAGGGTTGTGATTCATGTCTTGACATACTGGTGGTACACGCATAACTGTCCTACTGGGCAGTGAGGCACAGTCCCACCAGGTGGTACAAACTGCGTGGTTCAAGCTGTTGCGAACATGTTAAAAAATGAGAACATTATCTTTTAATATAAATTAAACAAGCTTACTAATCATATGAACTTTTTGTATTTCTTTCTTCACAGCTTTATGTATCTAATTTTCATTTTCCCTAATAACCCTGTAATTTCTGGTACAGAGGAATAGAATTGAGAAAGAGCAGAAAAAAATCAGTTTCCTTTAAAGACATCAAACATTCTGAATTAGTGATTTCTGTTGTTGTTTTTGAGACAGGGTCCCACTGTGTAGCCCAGGCTGGCCTCAAACCTGCAGCAATCCTTGTGCTTCATTCTTCTGAGTTCTGGGATGACAGGCATATACCACCGTGCCTCATGTTAAATTAGTGATTCTTAATCTTGGCTACACATTAGAATCACCTAAGGAGCTGTAAGTTATTTCCTTGGAAAAGGTAAGCATTATTCTACATTTAATATTTTTTTCTTACTTTTCTAGTATGGAATACAGTAGTACCTTCGTTCACAAGCTTGATTCATGATTCTGGTTACAAACTGAATTGGATGAGAACAAACTCAAATTCAATAGTTAGGTTCAAAGTTGACCATATAGGAAAATTTTACTTAATTTTTGTCTAGTTCACATTGTGACCAGAATCACTGAGTTTATGAACTGAGATATATATATA